CACAGAGATCCACCTGCCTCTGCCTCCCCAGTGCTGGGATTAAAGACATGCACCACCACCACTGGACATATTGGGAATTTTTAAGTGAAAAGAAAAACACTTTTGGACTGTGTCAAGTAAACTTGAAAGACCTGATAATTTATCTTTAGAGTCTCCAAATTTATCATCTTCATAGACTGTTGTGGAACAAGCCAGAGCTATAAATCTGGATAAATATAATTTCTGTAATACCCATGTATTTTTTCTATCTTCCTCTTTCTTTTCTTTCTTCCTTATTTGCACTATTTTGCATACTGCAGCTCTAACTCAGTACCTTCCATACAGTACTCAACCCTGAGCTACATCCACAGTTCTGGATGATTGTACAGGACAACAGATGATGCTGGGGGCTGAGATGGGCAAAGCTCTAGAGGGCCAGAGGCCTCTGGCTGGCTACTCTAGCAGCCAATTCTTCCTATCATGACAGGGTTTTCTCAAAAGGCACTTCTCTTATCCACTTAGAAATATGCAGGGAAAACAAAAGAGGCTGACACAACTTCTCAGCTGCAGGGGAAACCAGATACTAGACATAGCTATTACAATGGGAACATAGAGAAATATGTAAAGATGACTTTTCCTGAGAGGCAGAAGGCCAGTGGAGGAAGGTTTGGTTTGGTTTTTGGAAGTTTCTATATACCAGAACCTGGTGTACACTGGAGAACATGAGACCAGCAAAATAAAGAGCTTGTTTGGTTAAACTCCTCTGAAAGGGATGGGAAATGACTGGACCTAATGTGCTCTGACCTAGGATTGCCTAAGGAGGAAGGGGTGTAGCAGGGCACATGCAGGAGACCTAGTGATGCTTCCTCAGTGTTTCCTGTGAGGATGGGCTGGCCAAGACTCCACACCCCAACCATGCTGAAGACAGAGCTCAGAAGCTCTGGATTGCAGGTGTGTTCCCATAGCTCACAAGTGGACTCTGTTGGCTATTCCATCTGCCTCTGTGAGGATGAGGCCAACACCAGTCCAGGGTGGCTGTGGGGGGTGTGAACTTCTGGACAAGGAATGTGGTTCAGCTGGTAAGGGTGCCTGCCTAGTGCACATGATGTTGGGATCTCCATCCCCAGCACTCTGTAAACTGGGGTGGTGGGATGTGCCTGTAATCTCAGGAGTCCAGGTTCATCCTCAGGTATATAGAGGTGGAGGTCAGTCTGAGCAACATGAGCCCCTGTCTCAAAAACAAAGGACAAGGAAACACAAAATGCCCTTGTGTGAATAATGGACAGGCCAGTGACACAAGTAATACAAGCAAGCTCCCAACTTCTTTAAGCCCCAATAGTTTTCTACATTTAGACAGGAAAAAGAAGAGAGAAGATGTGTGTGGGATGCCAAGGAACTATAGAGACAGTTCCTCCATTCCTCTGTTCTGTGACTCCTGAGAGCAAGAGAAAGCACAAGTCAGGGAGGCAAAGAGCAGACTGCTGGAAGGGAGGTGACACTCACCTACACAGCTTATGTTCCAGGGCACTTTGAGGGCTCAGGGGATCAAAGGCAGCATGGAACAATCTGTGGGACATTGTAAGTCTCTGCCAAGGTTCTTTCCAGTGCTAGTGATCAAGTGGGAACTAAACAAGCTGAGACTCCATCCTGAGAACTCATACGATCCATGTAGGGTAAGAGCAGATTCAGTTGAACTACCTAACTTGCTTACCACACCATGGTGCTGAGAACTAAGGAAGGCATATCCTTGCTTCACTGACCTCAGGACCATAGAAAAAACAATAAAAATGCCATCACACACATGGTTGTTTCTTTGTCACAGTGAACCCAACCCGGTAAGGATTCCTGGCCTGGTTTAAGGAGTGAATCAGAGTCCCAAGGGTGGGTGGGGTAAATGCTGAGCTGAAGAGAGTCTAGGCAGCTGGAGTAACTGAGGGGAAGTGGAACTGTGTGTTGATTGAGCACAAAAGGGTGTGAGTGGGACTCATCAAGACCCAGTAGAAAACACACAGCAAATGACGCCGAGGCCTCCTGAGCGTGTGACCACTGGGTCACACCACAATCTTCAGCTAGGGCGCCCTGTAACATCAGGTGAGCCTCACAGTAAGTTTGAAATTAAATGTAGCTATTAACTAATAAGTCAATCTAGGTCAGGGCACTGAATCCAGAAATCTGAAATATATCATCCTAGACTGGGGATAAACCAGTGTGGTGGCACAGGCATGCACTCCCAGCACTCTGGAAGTGAACTCAAGAGGACCAGCAAGTTTGAGGCCAACCCAGGGAATATAAAACTCTATTTCAGGAAGGGAAGAAAAAGGAACTTTCCCCCATTATCTTTCTCTTCTCTCAAGGTAATAAACACCCACACTAACAGATCTAGCTGGTATAGCTCAGCAAATGTGGAACTTGTATGAGCCAGAGATTTCCTTTGCATGGAATGAATTCAGAAACACAAACTGGTTATTAGTTTACATTAAAAAAAATCACTGATGACTGGAGAGGAATTGATCTAATAGCTGTCTTTCTGTCCTTATGAGCCTTTGCTGAGAAACAGGCTTCATTAGAGTCAGTATGAATAACTCTAGAGGAGCAGGTGTGGTTAGGAATGACTGTTCCCCACTAGCTATCTAGAAGACAAGAGCAAACCAATGACAACAGATTTACTCTAACCAGGGAAAACCTGAAGAGTTTGTTTTACTACTGCTCCGGGTTAAGAGGGATGCCATATCTCTGTCTCTCCCACCTCTCTGAAATGAATGCCCAGTGTGACTTCAGTAACAGGCACTGGAAGATTTAAAGATGAGTGCTCTGAAGAGCATGTCCTAGCCATGGTGGCTGAGCACATTATGTATCAGTCCTTTCCTACTGATGCAGTATCCATTTGAACCGTAGGTTTGTTGCTGGGCTTGGCTGAACTGAGATATCAGGCTCCAAAAAAGATGACCATATACACACTATACTGCTACAGGAGAGGCAGTATTCTGGGAAGGTGGATGGCTTTGGCCAGGATGGTGAAAATGTATACAAAAACGATGTCCATGTAAGAAGCAGGTATTATAATGTTCACCATTAGGAGACTGGCTGTGTAAACAGAAGTCATCTAATTAATGGAATACAACATGGCCATTAGCCTGCCTTCCCCTCTCCCCAAAAACCCTATTGAATTTAACTATAGCTTTCAGTGCTACTAAATAGTATGCAGGGCAATATGCAAAGAGTACCTCACTATAAAGTTAAAAAGAATAAAAATGCTGAGAGTGGTAGCACAGACCTTGAATCTCAGCACTCCCAGGAACAAGGTCAGGTATACTTCTGAGACTGAGCCAGCCTACTCTATGTAAGTTCTAGGACAGTCAGGATTACGTAAAGGATACTATTGAGAAAGGTTATCTTTTGGTGCTAGAGAGATGACCCAGCAGCTCAGGGTGCTTCCTGCTCTTCCAAAGGACCTACCTGTTCACAGTGGGCATTTGGTATGTGGTGAGTGTCTATGAGGTCAGCACTCTGAAGGCTGAGGCAGGAGGATAGTAAGTTGATGGTCAGTCTGGGCTACATCACAAGACCTTACCTCAAAAAAAAAAAAGTGTCCTGTTCACCAAGGTCCCAAGGCCCCCAATTGATCTGGGCTGGAATATTAAGCATCTGGTACACAGATCTAGGAACTATATGTACAACTTTTTAGAGGCAGATGATACATCAACAACCAGTAATAACAAAACAGGGATGGTAGGAGAAGGTAAAACAGCAGCACTGCAGAAATGACAGAGATGGCTACATGAGGAAATCAACATACCTCAGATCTGCCCAAGACCCAGTGGGCAGAGACAAGGGAAACTGGAAGAGGCAGTCAAAATATTTTGTTTTAACTATTACTTTTCAAAACTGCAAAATGCTTAATTATTCTTAGCTGACATATCAGTAATTTCTTAATTTTTTTTCTTCTGTCCAAACAGCTGCTTTACTAGCAGATTTAGAGGACAACTTGGCATCTTGGAACAATCCTTATTCCATGATAGAGCATACCTGTAATCTCAGCATTAGAGAGACCGAGGTTAGTTCCTGGTCAGCTTGGGCATGCTATCCACCAAACCAACCCCCTCCCCAAAAGGGCTTAAGAGGTTCCAGAAGACTGGCTCAGTTCCCAGCACCCACACTTGGTAGCTCACAAATGTTAACTCCAGCTCCAAGGGATCTCCTGGTGCCCTCTTCTGGCTTTCAGGAGACAACCCCCCCCCCCCTGTACATACAAATAGAAACATAAGAAAGAAAGACAAAGCAACATTCTTGAATTTTTTTTCTTTTTTTCTCTTTCTTTCTTTCTTTTTTTTTTTTTTTTTCAAGACAGGCTTTCTCTATGTAGCTTTGGCTGTCCTGGAACTAGACTGGCCTCAAAATTGCAGAGATCCACCTGTGCTGGAATTAAAGGCATGCACCACCACCACCCAGTTTTTCCTGAAATTTTCTATGGATGGAAAGAGCTGACTGGAACAACAGACTGTCATATCAACACATTATCTACAAATAGGGTCTAAGCACAATTCAAGATATGACTTACTGAGCAGGAGTCCAGGTAAAGGGACTTAAAACATTCCCATTAGTAAGGTGAAAAGTGGTCAAAGATGTGAGAAGAACGCAAGGCTTCCTTTGTTCTAGTTATTCAAGCATCACCTGGCACCTGGGGCATAGACAGTCCATATTTTAACTGGGTCATGAGAGAGAAACAGCCTAAGACTTCTGCCCATGCAATTATATACAAACGAAACAGTCACTATTTCCCTAATGCAAGCATTTTTACCTCAGACAGAACATAATTTGAATTTTTTCCTTTTAATTAGATATGTGGGGAGGAGAGCGGGGGGGGGGGGGATCAGCCATTCAGAATAGTAGGTAAGGGAGCTTGTTTCCCCAGATAAACCTCCTCTAACAAAAATTCCAAAAGATCATGAACAAAACATTTCATTATCACGTTTTATAATGCAAGGATTGGCCAGTTCAGCTCAGTTCTGCCGCAGGCTCACCTCGGAAGAGGCGACTCCGATCTTCTCGGATTCATACGTGAGGGACAAGGACCTGCTGGTGCTGGCGGCCGTAGCCTCGGCCCTGCGCAGCACCTCCTGTCGCAAGTACTGCTGACGGTCCATCGGCGCGTCGGACCCGTCGGGCGGGTCGCGGGCGTCCTTCCACAGTGACGGCCGGGTGTCCTCGTCTTCCACGTCGTCGTCGAAAGGATTATAGCTTTTGGGGTAGCCGGACATGGTGCCAGCGACGGCTTGGACCTAGGAAGCAGGAGAGGCGACTGGGCCAGGAGTCGTAGCCCAGCGCTGGCGGGCGGACTCGCTGTCACCGCCGCGCGCGCCACTTCCGCCAGTACCGCGCCGGCAGCCCCGCCTCCGGAGCCAACCACCGCCCCGAGTGGCGCAGGGGGACTAGCTGCGCGGGGCGGCCTCACGCCAGGCGCCACCCAGTGCCGGCCACACGGCGGTCACGTGGCCGTGAAGCCGGGCGCCGCTGCGCCTGCGTCGTGAAGTCCGGCAGTGGCAGGCCCTGAGCTGCGAGCCCAGCCGCCTGCGCCGGGACGCGCGCTGTGATGGCGGCTCCTGGGTCCCGGGGAGGCGGCGGAGGCGGCTCGGGGTCCAGCTCTGGCTCCAGCACCTCCCGAGGCTTTTATTTCAACACAGTGCTTTCACTGGCCCGTTCCCTGGCTGTGCAGAGACCTGCATCCTTGGAGAAGGTAACCCAGCGGACTGACAGGAGGAGGTGATGAAGCGCAGGGACGCTGCTAGTCAGAGAAGGCCACTTGCGTCTAGACGGGGCTCCTGCGTAGAGCAGGCAGCGAAGTGGGGAGGTCGGTGGAAGAGAGGTCTATCTGTCTGGTGAAGAGAGGAGGCGAGAGGTCGGCAGGACAGAGGGAAGTCTGGTACCGGTGGGAGTGGGAGGGTGGTGAGCTGTGGGCGGGCGGACTGCACCTGTGACATCGCTGCTGCGGAGGCTGTGTGTGGCTGGACTGTGATAAACCAACGACCAAGGGTCCAATCTGGGCCTTTGGTCCTGAATTTCTCATTTTACCATTCAGTGACCTTGGAGAGATGTCTTTTTCGGATTGTGGAGGAGGACAGATAGAGCACTATGACTGAATGTTCTTTATGATCTGCAAATTGACTGCGTATTATTATTTAAGAGATGGTAGCGTCATACTGCATCAAAAGATGATGTTTCGAGAAGACACGGTGGCAGGAAAGGGCAGTGAACTAAATCCAGGATTGCTTTAGAAGAGAAAGATATGTTAGAAAACATACCAACTCTTGGAAGATAAAAGATTTGCTCCAGCTGGGATGGTGGCAGTAGGGCGTGTCTGTGTGTGTGAAGAATATAACCCCAGGATTAAGGAGGCCAACCAGCTTCTGTTACAACAAAAACGAAGGTGGGAAGAAGACAGGTTTTAGGCAGACCTGAGTTTGGTCCTTTACAGTTACTTACTATGTGTAGTCATGAGAAAAAAGAAAAACTTCAGTGCTCATAGCCTTATCCAAAACAAGGGGAGATTTAATTAGTTCACATATGAAAAGTGCTGCTCAGGGCTAGACACTGAGTGGATTAACGATAAAAGTCATCATCTTCTTTTCTCCTAGCAATGTGTGAAGAGACTCAGCACAGTATGCTACCTGGGAGGGGAGGGGACGGGGGATGACACCATTCAACTTTCTGAAAGATGGAAAGAGAGCATTTCTGAGTTGTACAGCTGCCTGCTGATGGAAGAAGCTGAAAGGTGGTGACCTGGTCTTTGACCTTGTACATTCTCAAACTTGTTTTTATCACTTGCCTGCAAGGTGAACAGGTTCTGGAAGATACAATGCCAACCTGACTTCTGTCTAAAAAAGAGAGTATAAAGTGGACATGGTAGCATGTACCTGAAACAGCCCATTGTCCTAAGAGATGGCTGAGCAGCTGCTGTTCTTTCAGAGGACAAGAGATGGGTTCTCATTACCCATGTTTGTCAGCTTACAACTGCTTGTAACTGGAGCTTCAGGGGCACCAGACGCCCTCTTCTGGCCTCCATGGGCACCTGCATGGGCGCACACACACACACACCCACACGCACGCACGCACGCACGCACACACACACACACACACACACACACACACACACACACACAATAAAAACAGCATCTTTCAGTGACCAGAAAAATCTTTAGGTGCCAGCCCTTACTGAACATCCACAGACCCATGTACACATGCATATTTATTCTTTTTATTCTTTTTAAAGACTTCTATTTAATGTGTATAAATGTTTTATCTGCAATATGCATTCCTGATGTCCTCAGAGATTAAATGAAGATGTTAGATCTCCCAAACTAGAGTTATGGGTGGGTGCTGGAAACTGGACCCCAGGACCACCGGGCCATCTCTTCAGCCTAGAAATTTTTATTAAAGCAAGTTTTCTAGTTTGGTAATCTGGGTTATCAACTTGACCACATCTGGACTAAACTAAAACCCAAGCAGCTGGGCACACCTGTGGGGGATTTTCTTGATTGGATCATTTGAGGTGGAAAACCCCATTCTCAATCTGGGTGACAGCCCACATAAAAGAAGAACACTTTGCTTTTAGCCTGCTTTGCCTTTTCTCTTCCTGGCAAGATTTATCCTGCTGTCAAGATATTCCTTCAATGGTATTAGAACCTATGTAGCCTAAAGCCCACCTAAGACATCCAACCTCAAGGACTGAGTGACCACCAGTTGCTTGCCATTTCTGTCAGGAGACAGCAATTGTTGGACTAGTTGGACCACAGCCTGAAAGCCACTCAGATAAATTCCCTTTTAACATAGATTTGTTTTATATATCGAACCCTGACTAATACAGCTACCAGGCCCTATAACCCGAGTTGGATTCCTGGGACCCATGTAGTAGAAAGAGAGAATCAACCCCCACAAGTTGTAGTTGTACACACACATACACACACACACACAGTAAAATAAATGCCTTTAATCCCAGCACTCAGGAGGCAGGTAGATCTCTGAGTTCGAGGCCAGCTGGGCTACAGAGTGAGTTCCAAGACAGCCAGGGCTACACAGAGAAACCCTGTCTCAAAAACAAACACATTTTTTTTTTAAAATAGTATTTTATGTACATTGATGTGAAGGTGTCATATGTCCTGGAACTGGAGTTACAGACAATTGTGAGCTGCCACTTGGGTACTGGGACTTGAACTCAGGTTCTCTGGAAGAGCAGCCACTGCTGTTAACCTCTGAACCATCTCTCCAACCCCCTCAAAACCCCAATTTTTTAAAGGGAGAGTCTTATAACCCAAATTAGAATTCCTTGATCAGTTTTCAGTTTACTTCAAACACACCTCCCAAGTTAGTTCACAGAAAAGAATTACAAAATCAGTGACAATTATTTTACTCGGAGTCTATAAAACATTAATTTATTTTTAAACTTTTGCTGTTTTTGTTTTGTTTTAAATCAAATAAGCTAGTAGTCCGATTGTTTTGTAAAAACTGGTGTTTCCTTGGTACATAAGGCTAGAAGTTTCTCTTATTTTACATTTTTTGAGTGTTTTTTTCATAACCTTTAAATTTTTCTATCTACATATATATATATATATATATATATATATGCATATATGTAGCTTAAGTGTGTGGCTATTTTACTTGCATGCATGTCTGTGCACCACACTCATTTCCCTAGAAGAGGCCTTCATATTCCCTGGAAGTGCACTTACAGATGGTTGTGAGTGCCATGTGGGCTCTGGGAATTGAAACCAGATTGTCTGGAAGAACAATTAGTGCTCTAACCACTGAGCAACCTCTTCAGCTTCAGTGAGGCCTGCATTTCTTTCTCTGGTTTCTTATTCATTTAAAACAGTTGAAACTCCAGTGATCCTGCTGTTTCCTGGGCAGCCCCTTCAGCCCTGTGGGCTGGCAGTTCAGCCTTAGAGCAGAGAGACTGTAGACTCCAGCCTGGGTGATCTTTATCAACAAGAGTATGGCTTAATAAGAGGAAATAATAGTTCATCCCACACTTGCTTTTGCTTATTTGGTAGCACCGATGCCAACATGCAAACATTGTAAGATATTTGACCTGATGTATGAACAACAGACTATTGCATGTTCACTTGTGACAGTGCATTAAGATGTTGCTGGGGGCTGTTTCTCGCCAGAGCAGAGGCAACCACCATCCTGGGTTTTCCCCTCCCAATGAATCTCTTGTGTGAAGTGTGTTGTGTGGTGTGACTTTATGGTATTCCTTGGCTCCCAACTGCAGATACCTTTCTCTTTGGAGCAGGGAGAGGGTTGCTGGGAATTACAGACTCCTGAGTGGTGTGAGCAGCAAAGTATCATCCAGAGCATCAGCAACTTTAGGATGCAGACCCATTGTCTGTGTTGATGTATTAGTAACACACTATGTTGCCATGGCTCCTGGAACCCACGAGGAAGCCTGTCCTTGGAGCACTTAGTGGTGATCTAGGAACATGTAGGAAGACAGTATCAATCTTCTCTTGGTATGTACTGAGCCATACAATGAGGACTTGATCTTTGTTGAGCTATGTTGATCTTTGTTGAGCTTTGTTGAGTATAGTATGCCACACAAATTTGAGTCTGTGGGATAGATACCATGAAGTAACCTGAAGGAGATACTAGGTGATGGGTGTTAATTACAGTACTGGGCACAGCTTCTACACTTGCCATTCTTAGCATATATTGGTTAATGAGATGAACCTGACTCTTTTGCACTAAACTAATTAGAGTAGCTTCTGGGTGTACCAGGTACTGATGGGTTTTTGTTTGCTTGTTTATTTGTTTTGGTTTTTTCCTCCCTGTGGTAGCAAGGAACAAATGTGTTTAACTTTACAGGATGGAGAACTATAAGGAAGTTTGTGCATAAGACCTGTCTTTTCTCCTTGCTTCCAGGTTTTCTGTATAATAAAATTTAGCCTTGAATATAACAGTGTATTTGTGGGCACTTTGAGGAACCCCTGAGACAACTTTGTGGAGTAAGCTTCTGTAGGTAACCGATTACACATTTATTGTGAATTCCTCTAATTATCTAGGATCATTTTGCTCTTGAGTGTATATGTGCTATTTTATTTTTCTCACTATATAGTCCTGGCAGGCATGAAACTTGCTATGTGGACTAGACTGGCCTTACGTATAGTAGTTCGCTGCCATGCCTGGCGTTTCATCTGAGGTCTTAAGATTGTGTAAGGAAGGGATCCCTGTGATAGTTCAAGCATAATCACCTGCTGACTTCATTCACCTACTTTAAAACAGTTGAAAAGATGCCTTCAGCACTTGCAGGGCAAAAAAGATCCCAAGATTCTTGGAGTGCTTTCCTGGGTATCAAAAATGGAGATGTGTGTAGTTGATAGATGAACGCTGAAACCAACAT